GTGAGGTACAGAAGACCAGAAGGACAGGAGCTCAATATTCCACCATGTGGCAAAAGCATCAATCTGAAGCATTCCAAGACAAGAACAAATCCAACATATAAACTTGAGGATGAAGCATCGATTCCATGGGAAGAAGTCTGTTGAGACGAGATAACTGGTCGTTCAATAAATTCATTACACCTGGAATATGACAAGCAAGGAGAATGATCTGATATTTGTGTGCCCAAAAGAGAAGATCCAATGTTTGAAAGCAAAGACATCTGGAGTGAGTGCCCCCTTGCTTTGAAATGTACTAGACGACTGTGGAATTGTCCAAGTGAAGCATGACCATCTTCCTTTGCAACAATCCAAAACCTTGAGTCATAGCTCATTGAACTGCTAGAAGTTCCAATAGACTGATGTGAAGAGAAATTTCCTCTTCTGTCTAAAGGCTTTTAAATTCCATACTTTCAATACAAGCACCCTAGCCCTGGAGAGGAGCATTTGTGAAAAGATGTATCTCTGGATGTGGGGGCAGTACAGGGAAAATGATGTCATTTTTCCCTGTCCAACCAACAGCTAAGATCTTGCAAACTGGAAGCTGACAGGACCATATGAGCTTGACCTAAAGGAATGAGTGATTCCAAAGAAGCCCACATCCTCAAAAGACATAGAACTGCATGTGCTGGTGGTGAAGGAGCCAACTGTATTTGAAGAACTTCCCATTCCATAGCCTGAAGGCATACAAGAGAAGGTTGGGCCCAACTTAGTCTGGAATTAATAAAAACCCTAAAGGGATGAGGTACTGGGTGGGAGTAAGAATAAACTTCTCTTTCTTTTTTGGTGAGAAACTCATCTCTCACAGCTTCTGCTAACAGAGATTGAGTGTGAAGTTCTGCCAAGTGGCAGGAAGGGACAAGAAGAAGCCAGTTGTCCAAGTAACGTGCAGTATGAATGCCCAATGAGTGAAGATCATGTGATAAGGATCTGATTATTGGGCAAAATACATATGGGGCAAATGCAAGGCCAAATGGAAGAGCAGGAAACTGAAAAACCTAGTTGTTGTGCATGAAATGGAGATAACACCATGAAGAATCCACAATCGTAATATAAAAGTAGGCATAGGTGACACTGAATTTTGTCATCCATAGACTGGGTGAAAACAGCCACCAAAGGGAAAGAAATGACTTCATTGTAAACTGAGGAGGTTAGATAAAGGGATTGAGATGAAAAAGGTTGATGACAGGCTGCCAATCGCAGTCATTTTCAGTACAACAAACAGCCTGGAATAAAAATTCTCGAGATAGGAGTAGACTCACTCTATGGCCTCTTGTGCCAAAGGTTCTGGATAGCTTGAGCTCGATGGCTGGATGTGAGAGGGTCCTTAGGGAGTGGAAAGCCAATTGGTATGAGAGACAATGGAGGAGAAGATGTGAAATGAATGACCACTTCTCTCCTGAGAACTTAAATGACCCACTGATCTGTAGTAAAGGTCTCCCATACTGTGATTAACTCTCTGAGTTGAGACCCCACAGGATATGACCCTATAAGGTAGTCACTAA